AAGGTGAAAGTGACTCACAACTAGACTATGCAAGAGTATTAGAAAGCTTGATGTATATCATGAATTGTACGTGACCAGATATAGCATGTGTTATTAGTAAACTGAGTCGGTTTATAAGTAATCCTAATCAAATACATTGGATGGCAATGAAACGAGTTTTGGAGTATCTGAAACATACCCAACATTATGCTTTGCATTATAACAAATATCCTTCCGTGATCGAGGGATATAGTAATGTGAATTGGATCACCGGATCATCTAAAGTTAAATCCACGAGTGGATATATTTTCACAATTAGGGGTGAAGCAGTGTCTTGGAAATCATCCAAACAAACGTGCATCGCCTGTTCTACAATAGAATCTGAATTCATAGCTTTAGATAAGGCCGGTGAAGAAGCTAAATGGCTTCGAAATTTCTTGGAAGATATTCCATTTTGTCCCAAACCTTTGGCACCTATTTGTATACATTGTGATAGTCAAGCGACAATAGGTAGGGCAGAGAGCGTTATGTACAACGGAAAATCTCGTCATATTCGACGGGACACAATACCATTAGACAACTACTCTCTAGTGGTGTTATCACAATTGACTACGTAAAGTCAAGAGATAACGTGTCAGATCCACTTACAAAAGGACTATCTATAGAGGCAGTTGAAAGATCATCAAAAGGAATGGGTTTAAAGGCCTAGGACAAGTCATCATGGCGGTAACTCTACCTAGCAGACCGGAGATCCCAAGAGCTAGGTTCAAAGAGATCAAACAAAGTTATGAATGACGGTTCAAAATTGTCAAATAACTCAACCTATTCTTGTGATGAAGGCAATGTTCAAAAAACGAGGTAAAACATTAAGGCTTTTTGATAAGTTAATAAAACTTAAAGATTTTTAATGATTTGCTAAGTCTGGCAGGATATGACCAGATAATGTGTCTTTAGGATTACCCGTTTAGGAATCATCTATGTGAGTGTGAAGTGTAAGCCGCTTCAAAGGGAATAAAAGTAAAGGTCCATTCTCTAAGAACTCATGAAACCGGGCGGTATTTATGGTTGAAACGAACACAATCGTGAGAACCATAAATGGTTAAGGATTGATTGTGTAAATTATGTTATTTAGGTATACAACAAAGCTCGATGGTTTAAAGATATCAAATCTACCGATTGACAGAGTATATCCGATATAAGTTTACTACAGAAAGTTCAAAGGGAAACCTACTTATCCAGATGCAATTAATTCTTGCATGTAAAACACACACGTTCGTGCATTCCTTTAAGTTTATAGCCATTCTTCATTCATGTGGGGGATTATTGGGTTTTGTTATTAATAATAAAAGAAGTGTGAATGAGAAATGGTGGGAAAAGAAATGGAGGGAAGTGAAATTTTGAATAAGTTCACTTTACTAATGCACTTTGTCCTTCATTGGTAGAAGGAAAAAAAATCTTTGTGTATATAGAAACACATCTTTTAGCTATTAAAGAGCTAAGAAGAAGGCAAACCTCGCGCCGTCGTCGCTCGCTCGCTCGCTCGGCTAGGCTTCGGCTTAGGATTTGGATTTGGATTTGTTCAAAGATCGATTGGTTAATCTTTTTGGACAAAATTCTTTTCAAATATTTAATTAATTCTTAAAATTAATTAACAAAAATTCAAATCAACCATGACCGGCGACCCGGTTCGGTCCAATTTTTTCCTTCCCCATATTATTTTAAATCCGTTTAATTTTTCCGCAATATTTCCAACAACTATGGCTATTCTAAAACAGTATCAAACCTGTTCCAATAGCTATGACTGTTCTAAAAGGTTGCAAGCCTTTTCAGAAACAGTACTAAATTGGCAATAAATATTCCTTCAAGTCCCAAAATATTTACTTATAATTTTTTTTGATAATCTTCTTCTTCTTCTTCTGCACAAAAATTTCAGTGTGTTTTACAGCCTTCGAGTGGTTTGTTGTTCATCTGCATTTTTGGTACCGATACGCTGGTGAGTTAAATCATTCTATCCTAGGAGGATATATTCCAGAACCTCGGGTACTTGAGGGGAATAATTCCTTAAGGACACATTGTGTATTCAGTGGGCTCGATTTGTTCCTATGTCGTTTTCAAAATTCATTTTGAAGTTCAAATACTGTTTTCAGAATTTATTTCTACTAACTTTCTATTTCTGTTTTCAGAAAGATTATTGTTTTATTTATTTACAGCAATACAGATTTCAATAACAATGTTTATGTCAAATCATATTAATTTAATATAATTAATTAGTGATAAATTGAGATAATATCGGAAAAAGGTTAAATATACCTATGTACTATAAAAATAATTTAAATATAGAAAAAATAACATTGTATATCTGCAGTAAAAATAATAGCCGAAAAAATGTATAGAATTTGTATATTTTTTCTCTATATATATACATTTTGTATGTTTTATACAAAACTTATACACTTTTTCGGCTACCAGATGTAAATAGTTTCTAGCGCAGACTAAAAGTGATAATATCTCATACACTTCTTTATACTTTGGGTCCAAATATACCCCTGCCGTAATACTATTGGTTCAAATATACCTCTCTTCCATTAAATTTGTCCAATGTGGACATCTAATCCTACGGGGCTGACATTTGATAAGGTAGATGCCAAATGGAATGCCACCTCAGTGCCTCTAATCCATATATAAAAGACTAAAATTTGAAATACAACATTTTTTATGGTAGCGGAAATGGTGGCAATAGTGATGGAGGGAAAAGAAAATTTTAGTGATGGAACAAAAATAGAAGTAATATTTTGTATTAATTAAAAATGAATTAGTGATAAAAATATATGGAAAGACTCATGTAATATTGTCATTAAAACGACATAAACACGGATTATAAGTAAAGTTTTTTCACATCAACAAAGAAACAAAATAAAAGCACCGCCCAAGTAAGAGTCACTGTTAAATAACTGTAAAGCAGAAGGATAATTAGTATTCTTGATTTGGTGCATTTGTGTTGTTTAATTAAGGTCTCCAATATATAAGGTGATTAATTGAGTTAATCATTTTTGTTAAAGTCGTTGACCATGACTTCCATTAGTATCGTCAGCTTCAATATGCATATCATTAACCTACATACTGCTTTAATGCTTGTAATTTAATGTTAATAAAAAGGCCTAGTCTACGATTATGTCCCTAATAAGATCTTACTGCACATATTGCTGCAGCAGAATACATAGACCACTCTCCCAATTCAATGTACGTGAAAATTAGAATCATTAGTGAAATTCAGTAATCTTCTCATAATGTGAAGAATGCATTACGGTGTATATGGATCTGTGGTTCAGTTTTTATCAAAATCAAATCAAACTAACTCTGTCGGTTTGAATTGGTTCGATTTTAAAATAGATTCTACATTAAATCTAAAGTATGAAGTAGAGAAGATAAGAGAAAGGGAAGAAGCAGAGAGAAGAAGAGATGAGCTAAGAGAAGGGGAAAATGATTTTATTCATCTATATATATATCTAGACTAATTGTAAATTACTAAGCTAATTGTAACTAACTAGATAGAGCAGTTATTAGTGAGCTAACTAACTCTAGGATTGGTGGTTAGTAACTAACAACTTAACCTATATGAAATTTCTAAACTGCCCTTTCTTACTTATGTTATATCTTTCTCTACACTCCCCCTAAAGCTAGGTACTGAGAACACATTAAGAACACCTAGCTTGGAAGAAAGATATTCACGCTGAGCCTTGTTAAGACCTTTGGTTAGCATATCTCCTGGTTGCTCCTTAGTAAATATGTATGTTGTTTTGATAAGTACTTGTACAATTTTTTCTCTGATGAAATGACAGTCGATCTCGATGTGCTTTGTTCTTTCGTGATAAACAGGATTTGCTGCAATCTGAATTGCAGCTTTGCTGTCACTAAACACTTCAACTGGTAATTTGACCTCAACTTCCACTTCTTTTAACAGACCAATCAACCAAATGAGTTCTGCAACAGTTGTTGCAAGGCTTCTATACTCAGCTTCTGCGGAGCTTCTAGAAATAATAGTTTGTTTCTTGGATTTCCATGATATTAGAGAGTCTCCAAACTTAACTAGGTAACCTGAAACAGACTTTCTTGAAAAAGGACAAGCTGCCCAATCTGCATCACAGTATGCTGAGATAGTATTGTTTAATTTGTTTGGAAGTAGAATTCCTTGTCCTGGGCTGTTTTTGATGTATTTGACAACTCTTAGAGCTGCTTCCATGTGAGACTTCTTTGGTCTTTGGAGGAATTGACTTAGTGTTTGAACACTAAATGAAATATCTGGCCTGGTCATTGTTAAATATAAGAGTTTGCCTATCAGTCTTTGATAGGAAGTTAGATCTGCCAGTTCTTCATTCATTTGAGTAGTTGACTTGGTCTTCTTTAGATGTTCATCATACTCTGTAGTTGTAAGCTTCATATTTGTGTCAAGAGGTGTTATAGATGGTTTGGCAGCTGCAACTTCTGTTTTAGAAATCAGTTCCAGTGCATACTTCTTCTGGTGCATAAGAATCCCTTGTTCTGATCTTGCAAATTCTATGCCTACAAAGTACTTCAATTCCCCTAGATCTTTCATTTTGAAAGACTATTGCAGATGTGCTTTTGTTTCCTCTATTAGTCTCAGAGAGTCACTAGTCACAAGCATATTATCTACATAGATTAATACCATTGTGATACCTTCTGCAGTTTTCTTAAAAAATAAAGACTGATCATGTTGACTTTGCTGAAATTGAGACTTCATTAGTGCTTCTGTCAGTTTAGCATTCCATTATCTAGGAGCTTGTTTCAAGCCATATAGAGATTTCACAAGTCTGCATACCTTATTCTCCCCCTGACTTGTCAATCTTTGGGGTAGTTGCATATAGATCTCATCTAGTAAATCTCCCTGTAAGAAAGCATTATATACATCCATTTGATGTATATGCCAGTGTCTTGCAGCAGCTATAGCTAGTATAGTTCTTATAGTTTTTATTTTATGGCTGGAGAGAAAGTTTCTTGACAATCTATCCCTCCTTTTGACTGAAACATTTGGCTACTAATCTAGCTTTAAATCTTTCTATTTCACCAGAAGCTTTATATTTAATCTTGTAAATCCACTTGCACCCAATAGGAATTTTACCAGTGGGCAGAGTTACTATGTCCCATGTATGATTATTTTGTAGTGCCTCAATCTCTGCTTTCATTGCATCTATCCATTTAGGGTCCTTTACAGCTTCAGAGTATAGAGTTGGTTCACTGATATTTGAAGCTGCTGTCAAGTAGGCTTGATACTTATGAGTTAGATGATCATAGGTTATGAATTTTGATATGGCATAGGGTTAATTCTGTTGAGTAGTTAATGACACAAAATCTTTCATCCATATAGGTGGTTTCTTTCCTCTTCCTGATTTTCTGACATTTATTGGTTGTGAGATTTGATCTCTTTGTTGTGTAGCTAATGTTTGTTGATTGTTAGTTTGGTAAATTCTGTGAGTATTTTCATAATGTTGTGTGTATTCTTGTATCACTTCTGACATAATATTATTTTCCTGTTCATTTGAATACATATTATTTTCTGAAGTTGTAGCTTGTGCTGTTGGATCTGTGTTATGTAAAAGTAAGTCTGTTATGTTTGGATGGACAAATAAAGATTTATTGTTGTCTTGTTTGTTTCTAAAAGGGAATATATCTTCTCTAAACTGGGCATCTCTGTTTATAAAGAAACTCTTATCTACTAAATCATATAATACATATCTCTTTTGGGTTGTAGCTTATCCCATGTATATAGCAGGTTTTGCTCTAGGCATTAGCTTATCATTTTGATTAACTAATTTTGCATAGCACAAACATCCTATAACTTTAAGATGTTGTAATGTATGTTTCTTATTATACATCCTTTCATATGGACTTTTATTTCCAATAACAGAACTAGGCAGCCTATTAATGATTACCCCAGAATTTGATAGGTATATTAGCTTGAAATCTGATAGCTCTAGTAAGTTCTAGTATATGTCTATGCTTTCTCTCAGCTACTCCATTTTGCTGAGGAGTACAAGGACTTGTCTTTTGATGAATCGCTCCTATATTCTTAAAGAAGTTCTCACAAACTGAGTTAACAAATTCTGTACCATTATCTGTTCTCACTGTTTTAATTGTAGTTCCAAATTGAGTTTTAACAAAAGTAAAGAATTGTTGTACAATCACACATACATCATATTTCAATTTCAGCAAGAAAATTCATGTCATTCTAGAGAAATCATCTACTACAGTTAGAAAGAACCTATTACCATCCATAGTAGGAATTTTGTAAGGATCCCATACATCCATGTGAACTAATTCAAAGCTAGTAGCTATTTTTATACTACTGATAGGAAAGGGTTTCCTTGTTTGCTTTGCACAAGGACATGTAGTACATAGATCTATTTTAGCAGATATATCTTGTGCATTTGTAGAAAATAGCTTCTTGAAAATAGTAGCAGACACATATCCAAGTCTTCTATGCCAGAGTTCAATATCATTTGAATTAGTCTCTTTACTGATTTCTGTCTCCTTAGTATTTAAACTAATTGCATTATTTCTTGGTAATTTTTGTCTACTGAGAATGTACAAACCACTGTCTTCTTTACCAATCGCTTTCACCCTCCCACTGAAGAGTTCCTGAAATATACAATAATCAGGAAAGAAAGAAACTGAGCATTTCAGTTCCTTAGTTAATTTAGAGACAGCCAAGAGGTTATATTTGAATTGAGGGATGTAAAATACATTAGTTATTATATCTTGATCTGTTAAGGTACTAGTTCCAATATGAGTAACTTGAGTAGTTTCTCCGTTAGGTAGATGTACTTTCTTTAACTGATTTGTTTGCATTAGAGAGACTTTATTTAACAGTTCTATATCAGCTACCATATGATTTGTAGCCCCTATGTCTATGATCCATTCTTGTAGGTTATTAGAGGCTAATAAGGCACAAGGAATACCTACAGCATTAGCTGATGGTGTTGCTGTAGTAGAAGCAACATTAGCTGATGGTATTGCAACACTTAAATTGTCTTTGTTCAGTAGTTGCACAATATGGTCATACTGCTCTTTTGTGAAGGTGCAATTTCCATCCAAGGTGTATTTGCCATTTGACCAAAATTCTAAGAATTATTAGCACTCACAGTACTACTTGTTAATTGATAATTCTGTACACAATTCTCATTCCAATTTCCTCTAGGTAATTGATTACCCTATACACTGACATCAGATAGCACATTATATGCACTGTGTGTATTTGTGTTCTTCTTTCTTGGTCTATATTCTGGAGGATAGCCTATAACCTTATAGCAATTTTTTTTAGAATGCCCTTTCATTTTGCACACATCACAGAATAGATTGAAATTTTTTCTAGTTTTCTGATAATTTTCCCCAGTTTTAGTATACATTGCCATATCAAATTGACTTGTTCCAGAAGTAGGATTTGCTCCTAGTAAGCCAGCATTTGCTGCAACTGATTTCTAGCTTTCATTGCTAATCACCATGGCATATGCTTGATTAACCGTTGGCATTAGACTCATGAGCAAGATTTGACTTCTAGCCTGGTTGTATGAATCATTTAGCCCTATCAAGAACTGAAACAACTTCAATTTTTGCAAGTGAACAACAAACTCTCTTGATTTTGGACAGTCACACCCAGGTGCAGGAACCAGTGCTTCAAATTCCTCCCATAAATCTTTCAGTTTTGAAAAATAAGCAGAAACAAATGTTGTTCCTTGACTAAGTATAGCAATTTCTTTATATAAATTGTACGATCTTGAACCATCCACTTTGTCAAACCTTTCATGCAAATCATCCCACGCACAGCCTTTGCACTTGAGGCATACATTATACTACCAAGTAACCCATTACTCACAGAATTCATCAACCAAGAAAGCACAATAGCATTTACTCTTTCCCAATGATTCCACAGATTTTCTGGGAAATTTTCTTTTGTGAATGTACCATCCACCAAAACCAACTTATTTCTTCCTAATAGCGCCATTCTCATAGATCGAAACCGTAGGGAATAGTTTTCAATCCCAGTTAGTTGAAAAGATATGATTTGAATGCCACTAACATCTGAAGGGCTTAAAAACAGTGGATGATTGTAATCAATTGCATGCAACCCTCCTTGATTCGAATTTGCAGGCAGAATTACAGGGGGAACAACAGTTGGTTGTTCATTAATCGCCATAGCAATCAAGCTTTATTCAAGAATTGTTTTAAGCAAGAACTGAAGTCAGAACTTCTTTTGATTTTGCGGAATTAGATGTTGGATCGAGATTCAAGCTATTGAATTAGCCTAATCAGCTCTGATACCATAAAATAATTTATGGATTGAATCTAAAGTATGAAGTAGAGAAGATAAGAAAAAGGGAAGAAGCAGAGAGAAGAAGAGATGAGCTAAGAGAAGGGGAAAATGATTTTATTCATCCATCATTTACATAGGTGGTGTATATATATATATATATATATATATATATATATATAGACTAATTGTAAATTACTAAGCTAATTGTAACTAACTAGATAGAGTCGTTATTAGTGAGCTAACTAAATCTAGGATTGGTGGTTAGTAACTAACAACCTAACCTATATGAAATTCCTAAATTGCCCTTTCTTACTTATGTTATATCTTTCTCTACAGGTTTTGTCGGATTTTTGTTGTACGAATATTATTTCAATCTTACTTTGTTAAAGTTATAGATAAAGTTTTGATAAGTGAATATATATTTAGTAAAAAATAAAAAAATAACAAACCTATAATTTGTTAAAATATTCTTATAGGAGCTCTTTTTTGGTAATACATTATAATTATTTTCTTAGCCGTCTAACAATAATTTTTCGTTGATATACGCTTTTAAGGTTAATCGAATTTAATAATTAAACATAAAAATCAATATTGATACTTAAATAATGATAAGTTCTATTTAATTTTTAATTATCGATATACCATTTCAAATTCGAAAAAGATTCAAGAAATCTTGATATATGAATATGAAGAATAAAGAGATGATTGACGCATTTCAATAACACTGATAAGAAAGTGATATAACTCATTATTTAAAGTAAATACAAATGAATGCATTTCATAGTTCTATTATATATTATATCCCATTAAAGGATCCCAAATATTTCTAGATATTTTTTAAAGAAAATTCTATATAAAATTTTAAAAGTATTTATATAAAAATTATATATTTATATGTCGATTTAATTTGTAATACCAAATATAATCGCATTTTTTAATTGGTTTGGTTTGACTTTTCGATTTGCTAAGGTTTTGGTCTAATTCTGGTGTCTCATGCCGTTTTGTATTGCAGTTTCTTTGTTAAATATTTGATAGAGACCAAAAGTGCTCATTTTTTTACAAATTTAACACTTAAGGAACTATATTAAACTTACCACCAAACGTAAAGGATCAATTTGGCATTATTTTTCTTTATGTACGTATCACAATTCTATCTCAAAGACATAATAAGCATATTAATTTATGCATTTCTATCTGATTTTTTTAGCATGAACGTTGTGATCGCTTCTTCAATGTATTTTCTGACCTCCTCGTTGCAATCTTATTGCGAATTAGAGAAAATAGCGCAGCTGATTTAGGCCAAGCTAAATGACAGTAAAGAATTATATGAGATCAGTACTTTAGTGTTCTAATTATATAANAAAAAAAAACCCAACTTTTGTTTTGCTGATGTAGAAAGTGTGTAATGAAGTACCATTTTACTAAAATTTCCAAAAAGAGAAAATATAAAATGAGTTTGCCACCGTTATATTGTCACCCATGCACGACCACTTTATAATTTTACGTACACTTCCGATCCTTTTTGTTGGATTCTATAGATTTCATCCTTAAATATACTGAAAATGGTCAAATATTCTCATGTACTATCAGAAAATATTTAAATGTATCACTCGTTATATTTGAGTCTATATATACTCCTATTGTTATACTATTGGTTCAAATATACCATTTTTCCGTTAAACTTGTCCAAAATGGACATTTAATCCAACGTGGCACTGACATTTGATGAGGTGGATGCCACATGGCTTGCCACCTCAGCACCCCTAATCCATTTTATCCCTTCTTTCTATTTTTTTTCCATCACTAAAATTTTCTTCCCCTCCACCACTATTGCCACTGTTACCACTACCATAAAAAATACGGAAAAGGTTTAAAAATGCCACTCAACTTTCAGAAATAGTCTATCCATGCCATTCGTTAAAAAATTGCTATTTTCATGCCACTGCCGTTACAGAAATGGCCCATCCATGCCATTATTGACTAACGGCAGTGGCATGGATGAGCCAAATAAAAATTGAGTCGTTAGTCAATAATGGCATGGATGAGCCAAATATGTAACGGCAGTTGCATGAAATGAGCATTTTTTTAATGGATTGCATGGATAGACCATTTCTGAAAGTTGAGTGGCATTTTTAGGTCTTTTCCGTAAAAAATATTGTATTTCAAATTTTAGTCTTTTATATTTAGATTAGGGGCACTGAGGTAGCATGCCATGTGGCATCCACCTCATCAAATATCAGTACCACATATGATTGGATGTCCACCTTAGACAAACCTAACAGAAGAAGGGTATATTTGAACCAATAGTATTACGGTAAAGGTATATTTGGACCCAAAGTATAAAGATATATTTAGACTTTATCTCATAGTACAAGGATATAATTGACCCTTTTGCCGTTAAATATATTGTGTACGTTTCAACAGAGGTGCAACCAGAATTTCAACTTTATATTTTCTGGTCTTCTAGATTTCAAAATAATAATTTCAAGTACTAATAACTGATTAAAAATTTAATATATATATATATATATATATATATTCTATGTTTAATGAATTTCTCAATAAATATATTATTTAAGCAAAAGCTACTGGTCCCGACAAACTCATATTTGGACTTCTACTTCCGACCTATCCTCTTGCTTGTGTTTCCTGTTTTATTTTTTTTATTTTTCGTATTTTCTCTCCTGATGCTCTCTTCCATTTTTGGTCGGAGAACCTCTCTTGTTATTTAATTAATTCACCATCACTGACTCTTGTTTTGCTGATGAAACTAATTTCAACAATCTGACTAAGCTCTTGACTAATACTTCTTGTGTACGTGTGAATAGAACACAACTACTATTTCATTCCAGCAAATTGGTAAACCACCTTTTTTCATGGAGTTTTTCGTTTTTCCTTTATTGAAATTGGACTTTCACTTTATATTTCGTACATGCATGAAAAAAGATGTCCTATAATGTCATAACTTCAACGAGAGTTTGCAAAAGTCAATTAATATAAAAAGATTTTAAGTTATATGCGCTGAAAATATACTAATTTTTCTTTTTACTATTATCAATGAATTTTTTATTTTACCCTTTTAATAAAATTAAACCACCTCGAGGTGGTTGAAATTTATTAAACCAAAAGCATAAACACAAAGTCATAAATGAACTAGCTATGCCGCTACCCCTACAAATCAATCTTGGAACAAATTAAAGAGGCATATACATCCTCATTTCTGTTTACATCAGGTTCTAGTTCAAACTTGAAATATGACAATATAATGCAAAACTAGTTTCCAATTCAATAGAAACTTCATGACTATTATAAAAGAACATAATTTAGCGACGGATAAATTTTGTAGCTAAACTCATAGAAAAATGATATAATTGTACAAATAATTTTTATACCATCAATGTATACAACTAATTAAACTTATAGGAAAATTGCAGATTTTGTATAGTATTTGAATGAAACAGGTCTGAGACCCTGAAAGGAGTAAACAAAAATATTGAGAATTCATATAGTCGACCCAAGTAACTAGTGTGGTATACCCTCTTTATAATTTCTATCTATTATTTAGTTTCATAAAAGCCAAGCGAATTATTTTATAAAGATAATTAAATTAAATTTTCCTAGTATTTAGTTCCCCTTACAAGAATCGTTTGTTCCTATATATTTAATTTCAGGAACCTTAATTACAGGTTGAGTTCAATTAAATTAGAAAAAATTAGTCAAAATCAATATAGGATGATAGAGAAATAGGAACATAAGTTTTGGACGGAGGAATAATAGCTAAGATATGCTTTGAGTATTTTTATTCGATCATGTCCATTGACCTGGTCTTAGAATCTATTACGTACTGATCACTATCAAATAACATATCAAAACCATGAAATAAGGGCTTTAATATGCACCATATGCATCTCCCTTATTTATTTATTTTTGGTGTCCCTTCCGCTATTCTGCATTAGGGTCCGATTAAATCCAGGATCATACCGGAAGTTTCACATTGGGTTGAAGCGCTCCTTAACAAAGGCAATTCATACCGAAAGCTCGATCCCAAGCCCCCAAATTAAGGATAAATGTGTACTTTCACTCCACCGTAACCCTTATTGGTCATCTCCCTCTATTTATCTTCTTCTCTTCCCCCCTTTTTTCTTTTTAAAAAAGTATTGTTTTATGTTTGGGGAACGATTTGTGGTCGGTGCCTCCATAACCAAGTACTAAGAGGTTGGTTTAACCCCTAAATATATATACACCTAATCAAATGAAAAAATAATAATAATAAAGAAGACCATATTGTGATATAGAGTTGATTTCCCTTGCATTATTTACAATTATTAATATTGTACAATATGTATTTGCAAACTGTAAATCTCATGATCTTTCCTAGAGGATGCAAATTAAAGTTATATATTATACAAAAATACTATCTATTTTTAGGTTAAAAGTTAAATACATCACTAGATCTAGAGAATGCCTAAGTCCTTTGGGACTGAACCAAGTTCACCATATTCAATGCAGCATTTTTCAATTGCATTGCATTGAAGTTTTGAGCTCCAGAAATGACAAACTCTTTTGCTCTATTGAAGAAATCAATGCCTAATTCTTCTTTATGAACTTGCAATCTTTTGGGACACTTGAGCAAACTAAGATAAGTTCCTAAATCATGTACACATGAAGGGTTATGCATCTTGAAAAAATCTAACAAGATTTCAACTCCAACATGTGCATAACATGAACAGCTCCATGGTACCTCATACCACCCACCCAAAACCCTAAAATGTTCATTCAAAAATACCCCAGGAAGTTTTGTTATAGGGTCATTTACATTTGTTATTCTCAAAACTTTTACACCTAGCTCTTCACATCTCTCTTTGAAGCCAGAGTTTCCAACT